AGTTTCGTAATTGCCCCCCCCTCCCCTCTTGTTTCAGGTCGGGCAAGTCCTCCTACAGGCGGGTATTGGAAGAACAACAAACCCTTGCAAAGAAAAACCAAAAGTAGCCACAAGAGCGCGAAACACCGTCACCAGACTATGCTTGCACTGTTCTTGGATACTCCTGCTGTAGAGGAACATGCCCGCCTGAACCCTTTCCCTGATCCCCCCCCTGCGTCCGACCCGAGCTGGGGGGGGGGGGGCGAAGAGGAGCCTGGGTTGCAGGCCTCTTGGCACGGCGGAGGAGTCGGCGGTGGACAAACCCCCCTTTAGTAAACCTCCCTCTGCTGAAAATGGCCTGGGACCGAAACCGACGGGCCTGGACACGCAAAAATGACGGCCGCGGCGCCCTCTCGCGAACCGAGAACGGTCAATGCCTTAATCGACGTGTCAGGGCAGGAGGTCTGCCCACCCGGAAGAGGCGGGCTCGGTGGCGGGCTCGAGGCGAGGAGGCCCACCTCCTGCTGAGGAGGAGGAGGAGGAGGAGGAGGAGGAGGAGGAGGAGGAGGAGGGAGGAGAGGAGGAGGAGGAGGAGGAGGAGGGAGGAGGGAGGAGGAGGAGGGAGAGGAGGAGAGGAGGAGGGAGGGGGAGGGAGGGAGGGAGGGAGGGAGGAGGAGGAGGGAGGAGGAGGAGCAGGGAGGAGGAGGAGGAGGAGGATGAGGAGGGAGGGTGGAAGAGGGTGCGGAAGAGGGTGCCGAGCGCAGCGGGGACCTCCTCCTCCTCCTCCTGCTGCTCCTCCCCCTCTTCTTCTCTCTTCCTCCTCTTTATCCCTCCTCCCTTCTCCTCCTCCTCATCCCTCCCTCCTCCTCCCTCCTCCTCCTCCTGCTCCTCCTCCCCCTCCTCCTCCTCCTCCTGCTCCTCCTGCTGCTCCTCTAGGCAGCGCGCCCAGGGGGGAAGCCAGAGGTGGCGGGCCTTCTCAGAAGGCTCGGAAGCCCCAGGCCTTCTGAGAAAAATCTTCTGGGCCTTCCCCGAAGGCTGAGGCGCGAGGATTTCTGAGAAGTCCCGCCGCCTTCCGAGAAGTTAAGCAGGGACCGACCGTCCCGGCATTCCTATAGTCCTACCACGACATGTTCTGAGAACCCCCAAACTGTTCTAAGAACAACAATAGTGTTCTTAGAACATAAGCCCGATGAGCTAAAACAAGATAGTGCCACTCAGAAATGCTCTAAGAACACTTCGTGGAAACCACAGAACAATTTCTTAGAATATTGTTTGGTAGGGCTGTAGCTACGCTAGGACGCTTCGCCACCGCTTGAAGAAGGTCTTCTGCTTCTCGTTTCCTCCCTTCGCTCGCCGCCGACCCTCCCTCCTCGCGCCCTTCCTCATGCCCCTCCGCCCCCGCCTCCCTGTCACGCGCCCGCCGTCCTTCCTTCTGCCCCTTCCCCCCTCTCCCTCCTCCCTCTGGACTTGTGTCAGGCGTGTCCCCCTACAGGGGGATTTTCGACGAACAGTAAAAAATACCCCAACGATTCACCAAAAAGGTCAAACAATACTCAAAAAAAAGTCCCCCTGACTATTTTTGGACGATTTTTGAATATTCCCCCTGTAGAGGGACAGGCCCGACTTAACTCTGGACCCTGTATGGCAGGGCTGAACCTAAACGGTGTTGCTCGTTTTCGTTATGTACCAGTGCCGCAGCCCCCCAGCAACGCGGAGCCGACTCGCCCACGCGCGGGCTGGGTCAGCACCATGCATCGAGTAGACTACAGATTTGGTTTACCCCAGACTTGATTTTCCCGTCGAACCCACGAACAATACCTAGGGTGCTCGGTATATCAACGGAGCACTCGACGTACTTTCCACATATTCGACTGAACAAACAATTTTGGGGTACATCGATTCTGTAGTCGATTCCCTACTCGAATGTAGGCCAGTGGACCCTTCGGTGGCAACGCATGGGAACCTCCCACACCATCTTGTCGGCTCTTGCGAATCGACGCTAATCGACGCTAAATCGACGCTCGTCGACGCTACATCGACGCTATCCGACGCCATCTCATCGACCCTAGACGCTACTCGACGCTCATTGGCTCCCATGAATTGCTACCGAGGGACCCCTGGATGAGACAACGGCCCCAGCCGCGGAGGCCGGTGGAGGGCTCACGAAGGAGACCTGCGCGGCCCGGGGGGAAAGCAGAAGAGAGGCACGGCACACAGCCGGCCCTCACCCCCCGCCCGGACCTACCCCCATAGGTCGGCGGCGAGCGAGGGGGGAGAAGTGAGAGGAAGGCCTTCTCTTGAGGGATGAAGAAACGACCCTACCCTGGCTTACAAGTGCGTGGTCTGTAAACCTCCTGGGAACTTCCAAAGGCCAGAGAGTCGCTAGGACGCCGCGCGACACGCGCGAAACGCAGCGTTTACCCTGCCAGCCCACAGGAGGTTCAGCGCACAGCGCCTCGTAAACCAGGGTAGGGGCGTTTTTTCAGCCCTTGATTCTCAGAAAGCGGCCAGACTTCTCAAAAGCCCTCGCGCCTTGTGAGAAGTGCTCTGCGAAGAAGGCATCTATGCATCAACACCTTGCCAAGCCGGGGCCATCCTGGCCTGGCAGGGTGGTGGTGTGTAGATGCCTCCGTCGGATGCCCTGCGTCTTCGGCGAAGGCTTGGGAAACTTCTCGGGAGGCTGGGGAGCTTCCGAGCCTTCTGAGAAGGCCTTCTCCTTCTCCCTTCCCCCCCTCGCTCGCCGCCGAATAGAGGGGGGAGGGGCCCCGGCCAGGAAGGTCTCCCTCGCTCCCTCGCTCCCTTTGCTGTTGTTCCTGCGCCGTTTGGAGAGAAGGAGGAGGAAAGCTGCGGGGACGAAGCGGACAGAACCGACGAACTCACGTGCCGTCAACGATGGTGCCGGGCGCGGACGATAACTCCAAAAGCCAGCCATGCTCTTGGAGCCCTGCTCCGAGCGAACAAGGGTCGCGAAAGCGGGAGGGGGGGACCGAGGGAGGAAGAGGAAAAGAAGGGGGAGGAAAGAGGATGTCGTTCCCTTCACGCATCTCTGTCTCTCTCTCTCCCTCCCTCTCTTCGGGCCGAGCGAAAGAGGGGGATAGCAAAGGTGGGTTTGAGAATCAGCTCACGTAGCTGATTTTTCCGGCGCCTCCCTGCGCCGGAGGCGCCCATGTATCGAGGCATGGGCCCCTCGGTGGGGCTGAAACCAGCTGCACGCAGCAGATTTCCCCCCCCTTTTCCTATCCCCTCCTTTCGTCCGGCCCGACCTCTCTCTCTCTCCCTCTACCCCCATGCAGTCCGTGGGACAAAAACACACACCGTGTGTTTTTCCCCCAAAAAACATACAGTGTGTGTGTGTGTGTGTGTTTTCCCACAGTGTGTTTTTGTTTCCACAGTCTGTGTGTTTTTTTCCCACGTTTTTGTTTGTGGTATGTGTGTGTGTTTTTTTCCACAGAAAGTCCTCGGATCCGATGTTTGTTCCGTGGCCCCGCAGCTCCATGGATCCGACTCTGCTGGCCCCGGGGCCCGAGGACGGGCCCCGGGGAGGCCCTGTGTTCAGCACAGTGGGCCCCTGGAGGTCTCGTCCTGTTCCCAAGGACTGTTTTTTCATCCCGAGTCCCAGCCCTGTTTCAGCAGCGTGGGCCCCTCGGAGGTCTCGTCCTGTTCCCAAGAACGTTTTTTTTCATCCCGAGGCTCTTTTTGAAGGTCCCATGGGGCCAGGGCAGGGCTCCTGGAGGCCGAACTGGGCCGTCCTGTTTTTGCTCTCCACGGCTCAGAAGGCGCTGGGTCTTCTTCCTCTCTCTACCAATCCTCGCCCGGCAGGCCGGTTTCCCCCGCTTTCGCGTTGGGGAAGACGGGTCCTAAGGGAAACGGGTCCTGGACCCAACACGAGATCCTCATCCTGAGTCGTGTTCTGACAAGCCCGGGCCCGTGGAAGGCCCCGAGAGCCCGAAACTAGCGAAAACCCCTAGGACCCGTTCCCCTCAAGGCCCGCTTCCCCCATGGCGAACCTCATGTTCCATCCTCGGGGCCAAACCTTGTCTGTCCCGTCACGGGCCTATCCTAGGGTTTGTCCGACCCTGCGCTGACATTCGCACAGGAAGGCGGATCATGGTGTATACGGGGTCCTGGTGTATACACTTTTTGTTGTTTCCCTGGAGAAATGGCGGAAAAGTATACACCACACCACCCCGACGCCGTCCCCGACCTTCAAAAAGTCGTGGGATCGAAAAAACAGCCCGCCATTGGTAATGTATGGATTCCAACTTGCGATATCCGCGTCGAATCCGTGTCGAATCCGCGTCGAGTCCGCATGGGGCCCGCGTCGGGCACGAGAGAAGACACCAACCTTGGGAAGCGGGCGGGGCCCCCCGAAGAGGCAGCGCAACGAGCCACGCTGCCCCTCGCAACAGCCGCAGAGGAAGAACGAACGGCATACAGTCATCCCGTCTAGTAAGGCTGCGGGGTAAGGAAGCGAGGGCCTTGGAGTGCCGTTTCGAAGCTGTTCGAGCACAACGCGGCCAACGAAACTGGCCAAGGGTGGACCGAGGAGGCAAGGATGGCACCCTTGGGAAAGTTGCCCATGCTTACTATGCGGGTTGACTGTAAACATAAACTTTTGGAGGTCCGCGCGGATCTCTTGGATCTGGCCTGGACCCCCCCCCGCTAGGGGCGGCGCCGGAGGCGCCGCCAGGGGGTTCCAGCGCAGATCCAAGAAATCTCCGCGCGGAGCGCCAAAGGTTTATGTTCGTGCCGTTTTGGAAGGGGCCCTGGGATACACACAAATAAAAAAGTCACAAATACCAAGATCCCCCACAAGTTTGCCACAGGTTCCGGGATTTTTTGTCTTCCCCCCCCCACACTTCGCGTATTTCCCCATACCTTCTGGGGAATCGACGATTGCTTGTGCCTGGGTGTCTTTTGTCCCCCTCCTGAGTTTCTTCCCTCCTCGCCACGCCGCGCACCGCCCGCCGAGGCCGACGGCCCTCCCCCCCCCGCCGGGAGATGGGCGCCCGCGGGCGGGCCTGACTGCTTGTGGTAGGCCATGTGGCAGACCCCGTAGGACCCCTCGCGCCGGGGGGCGGCCCGGCCCGCCGGACGCACGCGCCTCCTCTGCAGGCGCTCTGGGACGCAGGGAAGATAGGAGGCACAAACATCCGAGGAGCACCTCATTTTCTGGAGGGCACCCATGGACGCCAACTGCCAGGGTGGACGGCGAAAGGCGGCTATCAAAGAGCGCGCGCGACAAATCGGCTGCGTGCAGTGCTCCCAGCGCCGGGAGCGGGCATGTGCCAAGAACGCTGCCCAGCAGCGGGGCCGAACCCAAGTGCGGCGCTCTGGGACGCACGGAAAATAGGAGGCACAACAATCCGAAGATCATTTCATTTTCTGGATGTTCGTCTCCCCCCTCCACTTCATATGTTTTCCACGTCTTCGGAGGGATCGACAATTTGGGTGTTGTTGTTGTTGAAAACTCACTTCTAAAGCATAATTGCTGTGGATCTCTTCGAGCGGTTCCGCACATGCTCGCCTCGACGCCCGCTACAGTTTCTCTGAAAACGAGGATCCCTGAAAGCTCGGCTACAACGCCAACGGCTCCCGCTCGATACGGTGAGGGCAGTGAATAAGGAGCCCGCAGATAAGGAATCCAATGTCTGGAAGCTGGTGGAACACCAGTTGGGGCTTGACCATGGAAAGCAACGCCGCTCTTACCAGGTGAGGAATCCTCCAGGGTCTGGAGCCTCCTGGGCACATTCCTTAACCAACGTCCCCACCGTACTTCCTCACACATTCCCCCAAGACACCCTGGCCAAAGAGGCCCCCGAACTCAAGAACGGCGCTCTCGCTCGAGACTTCCCCGCAATTCCGTCAAGTTGGCGGAAGCTCCCGCTCGATACTTCCTCACAGTTTACCCGAAGACACCCTGGCCAGAGAGGCCCCCGAACTCACTAACGGCGCTTTCGCTCGAGACTTTCCGCGATTCGGTCGAATTGGTGGATGCCCAACTGCGACGACAAGGGCTCGCGTTTGATACTTCCTTCAGATGTAGTCGCAGAGGCCCTTGCCAAAGAGGCCCCCGAACTCAAGAGTGGCGCTCTCGCTCGAGACTTTCTCGTAATTCAAGCAAGTTGGTGGAGATCCAGATACGGCGACAAAAGGTTCCCGTTTGATATTTCTCCGTATGTATTCCGAGCGCCTCTGGCCAGAGAGGCCCCCGAACTCAGGAACGGCGCTCTCGCTCGAGAGTTCCTCGCACTTCAGTCGGTGCCCGACAAGGAAGAGATTCCCCCCGAAAGGCGATGCGATCGAAGACGAAGTGGGCGAGTATCAAGTGTTGGGCTATGTATACAGAATGCAAGACACGCGTGCCACCAAGAGCAAACAGTCTTAACATGACTGCTGTTGTTGCTGTTGTTGTTGGTGTTAATTACGAACCCATTGTTATTGTTGGACCCCTCATGAGCGCCCTGGCGCTCTCGCCGAGGCGCCGGAAACATGTTCATTGAAAATGAGACTCGCGCTCAAGCGGTTTGGGGGACCGCCAAAACCGGCCCCCAAACAACAACAACAACAACAACAACAACAACAACAACAAAGCAAGGGCGGCCAAACAAAAACAAAAAAGGAGTAAAGTCAAAACAGCGCCGACCCGTCCCGGTCGGCGCTGGCCCGCCCTGGCCTTAAGTGCAAGGCGGCTCAGCGCCGACGCGACCCGTCGTGACCGCCCCCCCGGCAACAACCACAACAACGACCCCCCCCCCCCCCCCACAACACCCACAACAACGCCATTGAATTCGATTTGTGTGAACATCTGCGGACCTCCTCTCTGGCACCAACGAATCCCTGCTGGCAAAAAGCATGTGTGCACCGGCGAAGCAAGGAATTCCTAGGAATCTTTAGGAATACCTGGGAATCCTTCGGAATTCTTAGGAATCCTTAGGAATGTCCTAGGAATCCGTGAGAATGTCCTAGGGATCCTTAGGAACCTGTACAGATCCGTGAGAATGTCCTGTCCGTGTATAGGATCCTATACAGATCCGACACGGACTGTATAGGATCCCATTCAGATCCGATACGGACTGTATAGGATCCCATTCAGATCCGATACGGACTGTATAGGATCCTATACAGATCCGATACGGACTGTATACGATCCTATACAGATCCGATACGGACTGTATACGATCCTATACAGATCCGATACGGACTGTATACGATCCTATACAGATCCGATACGGACTGTATACGATCCTATACAGATCCGATACGGACTGTATACGATCCTATACAGATCCGATGCGGACTGTATACGATCCTATACAAATCCGATACGGACTGTATCGGATCCTATACAGATCCGATACGGGCTGTATACGATCCTATACAGATCCGATACGGACTGTATCGGATCCTATACAGACCCGATACGGACTGTATACGATCCTTCACAGATCTGATACGGACTGAATAGGATGCTACACACATCTGATACGGACTGAATAGGATCCTACACAGATCCGATACGGACTGCATAGGGTCCTACACAGATCCAATACGGACTGCATAAGACCCTTTCCAGATCCGATACGGACTGTATAGGACCCCCTACAGATCCCATAGTCGGCGTCGTGGACCCTGTCAGGAAAAATCAGCCGCGTACAGACTGTGTGGGACCCTGTACAGATCCGATACAGACTGTATGGGACCCTGTACAGATCCGATACAGACTGTATGGGACCCTGTACAGATCCGATACAGACTGTATAGGGCCCTGTACAGATCCGAGGCCCGCACTGCGACCCCGTCCCACTGGGTCGCAGTGCGGGCCTCCGCTATATGGCAGAGGCCCGCACTGCGACCCCGTACCCCCCCCCCCCCCCGGCGCGACGCGACGCGCGACGCGACGCGTCGCACGTCGCGTCGCGGGGGGGGGGGGGGGCGCGACGGTGACCGACCCTCCTGCCACCCCAAGGCATAGGAATCCACTAGGAAAGCTTCGAGGTCCTTACGGCAGCCCACGCGTTCCCACCAGCTACAAGTATGCGCCCGCTACCGCGCCGACCTCGTAGTGCTACTGGTCTCGTCGAACCCGTACTAAGTAGTAGCCCTGAGAGTAACTTCTAGTCGTATCCCGTAGTAGTGGTAGTAGTGAGTAGTAGTAGTACTAGTAGCAGTAGTAGTAGTAGTAGTAGTAGTAGTAGTAGTAGTAGTAGTAGTAGTAGTAGTAGTAGTAGTAGTATCGTAGTAGTAGTAGTAGTAGTCGTCGTAGTAGTAGTAGTAGTATTAGTAGTAGTAGTACTAGTAGTAGTCGTAGTCGTAGTAGTGGTAGTAATCGTCCGTAGTAGTAGTAGTCTAGTAGTATCGTAGTAGTAGGTAGTAGTCGTAAGTAGTAAAATGCAATCAGTAAAAGTAGTAGTAGTAGTAGTAGTAGTAGTAGTCGTCGTCGTCGTCGTCGTAGTAGTAGTAGTAGTAGTAGTAGTAGTAGTAGTAGTAGTAGTAGTACTAGTAGTAATAGTAGTAGTAGTAGTAGTAGTAATCGTAGTAGCAATCGTAGTAGTAGTCGTAGTAGTAGTAGTGGTAGTAGTAGTAGTAGTACCCCCTCGCTGCGCGTACTAGTAGTAGTAGTAGTAGTAGTAGTAGTAGTAGTAGTAGTAGTAGTAGTCGTAGTCGTAGTCGTAGTCGTAGCCGTAGTAGTAGTAGTAGTAGTAGTAGTAGTAGTAGTAGTAGTAGTAGTAGTACTAGTAGTAGTAGTAGTAGTAGTGCGTAGTAGTAGTAAGTAGTCGTAGTCGTCGTCTAGTAGTAGTAGTAGTAGTAGTAGTAGTAGTAGTAGTAGTAGTAGTAGTAGTAGTAGTAGTACTAGTAGTAGTAGTAGTAGTGGTAGTAGTCGTAGTCGTAGTAGTAGTAGTAGTAGCAGCAGTAGTAGTAGTAGTAGTAGTAGTAGTAGTAGTAGTAAAAGTAGTAGTAAAAGTAGTGGTAGTAGTAGTAAAAGTAGTAGTAACAGTAGTGGTAGTAGTAGTAATAGCCTTGAATCCTGCGAATCTCTGGGAATCCCATGAATCTGTTGGAAGCCTTTGAATCTCTTGGAATCCTAAGAATATTAAGAGATTCTAAGAATCTCTGACATTCTTACGAATCTCTAGGCATCCATTGAAATCTTTGGGATTCTTGAAAATCTCTGGTGATCCTACGAACCTCTTGGAATCCTACGAATCTCTGATCCAAGGAATCTCTGGGAATCCTAAGGGTCTCCGGGCATCCTAAGAATCTCTGGGAATCCTCAGAACCTTTGGGATTCCGAGGAATCTCTGGGAATCCTACGCATCTCTGGAAATCCTAAGAATCTCTAGAATCGTAGGAATCTCTAGGAATCCGAGGAATCTTTGGGAATCAGAAGAACCTCTGCGAATCCTAGGAATCTCTCGGGATCCTAGGAATCTCTGGAAATTTCTAAAAATCTCTGAAATCATAAGAATCTCTAGGAACCCTAGAATCTCTAAGAATCCAAAGCATCTCTGGGAATCCCACGAATCTCTGGGAATCCTAGGAATCTCTCGGAATCCTACAAACCTCTGGGAATCCTAGGGATCTTAAAAAATCCTAGGAATCTATGGGAATCCTAGGAATCTCTGGGAATCCTGAGAATCTCCAAGAATCTTAAGAATCACTGGGAATCATCGGAATCTCTAGGAATCCTATGAATCTTTGGGAATCCCAGGAATCTTTGGGAATCATAAGAATCTCTAGGAACCCTAGGAATATGTAAGAGTCCAAAAAACTTCTAGGAATCCTAGGAATCTCTGGGAATCGTATGGGTCTCTGGAAATAATAGGAATCTATGGAATCCTAAGACTCTCTCGGGTTCGTAGGAATCTCTAGGAATCCGAAAAATCTATGGGAATCCTAAGAATCTGTCGGAACCCTATGGATCTCTAGGAATGATGCCTTCGGTTGCGCCCCCTGTGGGGCCACGAACCGTGTGAGGGGTGCGCCGAAATAGACCCGAATCCTTCGGTTGCGCTCCCTGTGGGGCCGCGAAAGCCTTCGGCTGCGCCCCCTGTGGGGCCACG